ATTTTATTACTTTTTTATGAAAGGGGTAAAGTAAACATAAATGAAAAAAGTTAGCTTTTTAACTGGTTCAGTTAGACTTACTGTAAAGCATAACCGAGTGTATTATTTGAGATAGATACTCCGCAATGATAGATATTTTGATAACTGTTCATGTAGGCTGTTTGATTTGTTCGCTTACTGTCTCGGGTATGTTGTGTGATGGAAGGATTGTGTGATTGCGCGCCGGTTTGAGTCCAGCTGTAACTGCCGCACGACCGAGACAGCGATTTAGTTATGAGTGCATTCAGCATGATTCCGCCTATGCAGCTTCTGTTACTACATGTACAAGTGTCTCAATGATGAAGAATGTTTGAATTTATTTTTTTTGTTCCACTGAGTTTGGTTAGCCTACCTTTGACTGGACGGTTCTTGTGGTAGTGCCAAAATAAGGAACTGTCTTGGGAAAATTGGGACATCTGATCACATTTATGGGTGACTTAAACAGGGTTACTCTGTATTCTGATTTGACTACAGCCACTCGAGCCCCAGTTTAGCACTGGCGTCACTGTTTTTGAACAGCAGCGAACTGAAAGGTATACTTCACATTATCGACTAGAGAAAGCATTACGCAAAGAGGCGTTTCCCGCATCATATCGCAAATAAATTCTTCAGCCAATCAAGGGCCTCCTTCTTGGGCCCTGGGGCTTCAGCTCCACCTTGCCCTTACATTAATCGTGGCCCTGTTTATTGTGATAAGCCAGTTGCTATGGTGTTTAATGAATGGGAACAAAAGCAAACTAATCGCAAGTGGAAAAAAAAATACTAGGCTAATTACAACTGTTTTTGGTGCAAGAATCGTAAACTAACACTAGAAGTAGTCTTTAGGGACAAAAAACAATTGCTGAATGAAAACAAAGAAAATATTGTTTTGTATAAAATGTGCATGGGTGAATGTGTCTGTGTCTTTGAATCATGCTGTGATAAGTAAATGTGTGGGTTTGTTGTAGCAGTGCTTGGGTGGGGATATAAGTATGTACTGCAAATCTCCTGGGAGAAGAGTTTCCAGTAAAAAAGAACACACAAATTTGTGGCTTCTCCCTGAAGTGTAAGAATCACGTATAATACAGAGCTGTCACTTGTAGTCTAATTGGACAGCCTTTCGTCCTAAGCCTCCAGGCTTTACTCAGTATCCCTGTCTCAGAATTTCTTACTCCTTTCTTGTCTCCTTGGTCCCTTCCTTCCTGTCTGCCCTTCACTCTTTCAGTCTTCTCCTGTATCCAATTTCTTATCTCTTCGTCTCTCTCCTTGTGTGTCCCTTTCTATGTCCCTCTATGTGATTGCTCATTCTCTCTCTCCCTCCCTCCCTCCATCGCACTCTCATCTGTTGGTATGGCTCAGGCTGCATCATCCAAGAGGACACGTGTTCTCTGTTTATTACAGAGCAAAAGAAGGGAGGGGGAGAGTAAGCGAAGGAGGGAGGGTGGAACAGAGGTAGAGAGATTCACACAGCATAGCCCTCACAGGGTATACAGCATCGCTCTGAAACGCACTCACGAGCAAACAAAAAGCGAGGCTAAACGCATCAAAATATTTTAACGACAACAGGAACACAGTCCTTCAGCAAAGGTAAGAAAGATCTCCTTCATTCCGATCATTGCTGTAGGGAGTTGCAAATGAGTATGATAATTCACGGGAACTCCAAGACATCTGTTGTTAGGTTAAGTTGACTACTTGGTGGATTCATTAAAAGGGAGATGAAGATGAGACAAATGGAAAGAGCACATCTAAAAGTGCCCCAATACGGAGCCTTGAGGCACTCCTCCTCAAGAGAACCATTGGAGTACCTGCTGAGAGTATTACAGGGCTTGTGTCATAAGCGACGCTTCATAGTTCCAGCCTCTGCATTGGCGTGAATGGAAGGTCGACAGGTTAAATTTATTAACTCCGCAAAATTACTGCGTCAGTCAGGGAGGCTTTGCCAAAAACAGCAAGCTAGTCGCAGTCCATCCAGACCACCCCTTAAATCCAGGGTAAGTCTACTAACAGGTGTCCTTTTTCCTTCATTGAAGCATGCTATTTCTGCTGTGGTGCTGAGATGTATTTGGGTCTGTGTCATTGCAGATAAACACAGCTTTTGTTTTTTCTAATCTCAATAACACTTCACAGAATATCTGACGCCGTTGTACCTGGTTTGGTGCCAGCTTGCATTGGAGGCCAGAAGGGCCGTGGAACTTTCCAGGGTGGATGAATTATGATTTATCACAAGTCTTGACAGTTTCATTTGTAAATGGGTGATGAAAGATGTTGTTAGCACATGAATTATGATGGGAATATTTGTGTTGAGTTTAAAATGAAACAGTGGTGATTTCATGGTATAGCTAATGGCCACTGCCACACCGTCATTTAATTGACAACATTAAAAGGGCTAAAAATACAGATTTTGTCTGTGTAACACAAAGGATTGTGGACTTTCAAGCAGATTTTTAAAAATGAATAATGCATGAGATGATTTCTACTGCATTGACGAATGATAATATGTGGCATGTTTTGGAAAGCAAGCATCTGAAGAGTGGATTTCTTTAGGCAAAATGTACTCTTGTAAAAGGAAAGACAGCACTACTGATGCAATGTAATGTAAGGTTATGATGATTATTATTATTTTTTGCTCTTCCTTGCAAGGCAACAACAAGATGCCCCCATTTCGGCATTACATAACAATGCAACAGACGCCTTGGAAACTTTTCTGCCTCACTCTTACAGAACCCATACCTCCTGGAAGACTTCCCTGTTAGAACTGTTGTACTTTTCCTTTACTGAGCATGGAAAAAGAATTTTATTTAATAACCTGCATGTTAGCTTTATTCTAATTGAAACCCTCCTGGCTTGAGATTTATACAAAGAATGTCATTTATTTAGGATTTTGAAAGTTGCCTGGAACGCTTTCATAAAACATATCCTTGTGAGAAGCATGCCCTGGGACAAGTGTGCATTTTCATGTACAAAAAACTAACCTCAGGGGGGCTTCCTGAATATTTATCTGAATACCTTATATTGTGTATAGCTGAATTACAAATCGATCTTGTTTTGTACTGATAGATGGGGCCTGGATTGTTCTGGAACTTCCCATCCAAGGCTAGCTGCACGGTTCCACAGAGCCTGCTGCAGACAATGTACGTACAGTAGTTCCGCCTGTAACCGAGGTTGTCGCATTTATTTTTCGTTTTTAGCATCCATTGCTTCATTTTTTTGTTTGTCCCTTTGCTTGTGAATTCCATGGCCTGTTGCTGTGTCTGATTACATAATGACCACACCTTGATTCGTTGACCAATCGATGGCCAGTGGCCTACCAAGATTATGTGTCAATAACCATCAAACCCTAGACCATTACTCATAATTCATTGACCAATAGCTGTTGATTGTTCCAGCTTTGAGTCTTTGCCCAATCTGTCCATGGTTCAGGTTTATGTCCAAGTTGGTTTCATGTTAAAAGATCATTTTTTAATTAAGTCCACGATATGTGTCAATTGATGTCCTTGATATTGAGATTACTGTATGAAGTGTTGAGTGTCTTTTAGTCATTTGTTGCTTGAATTGCATGCTATTCGATCATCAAAGAAAAATTGACATATTGGCTTCAGACCTGATATAATGTGTTCTGTTTTGGTGCAAAAAAAGAGTACTAACTTGTTGAATTGTCTTCAGTAGTCCTTGATGTTCAGTGCTCCCTGTGTACCTAAGCTACATGACATTAATTTCACTCTAAAGAACTACAATGAATGAAAAATCTCCATGAATAATTTGACTGCACACAACTGAAGACAGGCATTTTGACTTTGATTGCACTCTATTCTGAACTAAATAGGTATGCAGCTGTGATAAATGCCCAGGACGGGGCGAAATATTACTTTGTGAAAGCTTTTACATGCAGGCCATTTATCAAAATGGAACCATTAATCTCTAATGGAAACCACACCTAACATCCATGAATTGGTTTCCTACTGATTCAAATAGTAGAAATATGCTTTAAGGAGAGGTAGAGGCAGTTACTGCACTTTTGGCCGAAGTAAAACAGCCTTATTGAGGACCACATACCAATTCACCTTCTGTCAGCCTGGCTTGCTGCAGGCATTTCATGACAAAAGGCAGTGTGAGGGTTTGGAAACGATTGTGGATGGTGGTACAATGCTATCAGGGTGTCTTTGAGAGCTAGATAGCCATAACTGGCCCCTCAGATGTTACCCTGGAATCCCACAGGAGGTGTGAAGTGAGCTTACTGAAGGTTTGAGATTTCAGTGATGTTTTGTTGTTGTTTTGTGAGCTCCACAGCTGCTTTTTATTTAGTATGAGGGTTGTGAGCTTTTTTTTTATAAGCCACTTGAGTTTTGTTTTTCTGCTGATACTTAAAAGTTCATCTTCCATCATCTTCTACAGTTTATATAATGATTCCTCATAAGAAATTTGGACCCTTGTCAAATGTACACATTAGAGAAACAAGAAATTCATTCATTGAATAAAAGGAGAATGCTAGATGCTAGCTTAGCAAAGAGACCAAGTTAGTTTTAGAAGGCTTAAAATGTGGATACTGTATTTTCCTTGATATTTTTCATTTTTTCAAAGCAACAAGTGCTTTTTAAAAACTAAACTCTTCTTCCATAATTCGAAAATAATATAATTAATTTTTTATTTCCTGGTATATTAGGTTCTGCCAACATGTGGGTGGTACTCGACACTCTCTCTACACCTTAAGGAGCCATGTTGTTTCTATTTACCTCAATAATGCGTTAGCATCCAAAAGGCTAATTAAAACTTTAAATACTTGTATAACCTAATAGCGATGCCAAGGACATTGCATTCCTAGCTTCTTGACGATTAAATAAGACCTTCACCTGTTTTGCATTCAGAATTCTGTCTGACATTGATTTAGTTGTAACAGTCTGATGTGACGGGCATAAATGCACATTGTCCTAACCCAGATTCCAGGTATTGACTGGGATTCTGTATATCAGGTCAGACCTTGGAGCAGATCTATTGATTTGGTGTCTGACAAAATAGTCTTCCAATGGTCTTTCCATTGTCATATTCTCTCATGCAGTTTTTTGTCACTGGGCAGAGTCATATGCTTGCCCTAGCTGATGTCATCCGTTTAACCTCACTTGAGGTCATATGACCTCTGTCTAGTTCAATAATCAGAGACCACATTACAGTATCTCTGTGATCGCAAACTTTTCTATCCTAGTGTTGCAGTATGGACAAGAAGTGATGCCATCAAAATGAATTAAAAAAAGGAAAGATAAAGGTTATCCAACTCCCAGAAGATTGCTGGGGCGTCTACTGGCATTGCTAAAGGTTACCATGGCAACACCAAATGGGTACAGAACCCACAAAAATAAATCTCTATGAACAAGATGGGTTACAGTTTGATATTTAACATACATTGATTTAATAGATCTTAACACTGCATTTGTCTGTATATTATAATGTAAATTAAGAGTTACATTAACAATTCAGTCAGGTTTTAGTCAGTAATTAAAGGCATAATTCTCCCAAAAATGAAAATGTTCTCACTAATTACTCTCCCTCAGTTGGTTTCAAACCATTGAGTTTCTTTATTCTGGGAAATATTTTGAACAAAGCTAAAAACCTGTAACTACTGATTTGCAGAATAAGAAGAACAAATACTATTGAAGTCAATAGTTACATCTTTATTCAAAATAACTTTTTATTTTTAGATAAAACAATTAAAATATGTTTGGAACAAGTAAAAGGTGAGTAAATGATGACAGAATTTTTAGTTTTGGGTTAACTATACCGTTTATTGGAGCATGGTAAATTTGTATTAATAATGAACATGTCTCATACAAACAAAAGTCCTAATGTACTTTGGCGTGTAACTCTGTCTTTGGTACCTCCAATTGTGCAGTGTGTTGTGTCGAGGTGTATTATTACTTTTATAAACAACTTTACAGTTCTCTCCTGGTGGAGTAAAGGACTGAAAAACGGGACCTAATCTACTGACCAGAATATCATATTGCAACTTGGCGGTGGGCTGTGTTGATTTGGGTTAGTTGACAACCACGTGGAGAAAACACTTCGTAACACACCTTGGTCACCACATGGCAGTGCTAGTTATGTGAAGGCACTTGGAAAACTCCACACATTCTCTTTAGAGTAAAATGTAGCTCATTTATAGTATAGTGAAACAGTGTGTTAACGATTATAATAATGATCTGAGAAAGGTCGGTGCATGTGGGGGAGACGAGATGGATCAACGGAGAGATCGTGACAGAGAGGAAGGGAGAGAGAGGCCAATTGAGTGTATTGTGGTGATGTCTAGACCTCGTTATAATCACCTCATGGGAGGTGTTATGCAACCAAAATAATCATTCCCTGCAGGGCTCTGAATCATTCTATCCGTTCACATCCGAGGGTTTGATTTACACTGCCCATGATTCCAGATTCATGCAGCTCTTGGCACTGACAGGAAATAACAATGGACGGACATTTCTGTTGACTCTGAGTGTTCTGAATTAAGCACAGTCGTTGTTCGACTCTTCTGAGAGAATGAAATATCAAAGCGTTCTGTCAGGTAAAGATAGTGGGAAAATCTGCACTATTTGATTAAGTTATTCTTCGCCATGTTCCAGGGTCAACGTAATTTGTTAATCCTGGAACATCATTTCTGTTCGAAAATGTGATCCAAACCAAATTTCTAACTGTAAATTATTCCTAACATAAGAGAGTACTGTAGGTTAATAATGATGTAGAATCACATAGCCATGTGAAGAACACACTTGTGTTTTTAATAATGGCAAGAAGGCTACTAAAGTATGCTAATGACCATTGATTGCGCCACTAGCATTATTTCCATCAAGTCTGTAAATGTAGACTTTCTTCATAATCTTTGTCTTCATACAGTATGCATGTGTTTGATGACCAAATAAGTTAGCGCAATACTGGAGGTGTTTGTTAGCTTAGCACTGTGTTATTGAAATATCAGTTGACACTGATGGAGCTCCCATGAGCCGACTACACCGGCTACACAGCTGGAGTTTAATAAGTACCATAATGGAAAAGTACATTCTCATCCATCACCAGATACCTTGAGACAAGCTGTGAGCTAGTGTTGCATGTTCTTGGTGACTGACAGTTTTTCGAGCATTTTTTTTGTCATATGGAGTCTAGCCACCCAACAACATTCAAGCCATGTTCATGATGCCACTCCATTTTAAGTCCACAGAATCCCATAACCATATGTATTGTTTGAAACCAGATTATTAGCCCTGTTGACAATGCAAGTAAAATCAAATTTTGATGGTTGCTGGCTTTGCATGGGCTGTGTCTTAATCCACTCCTTAGTTCAAAATGAAGTGTGCTAGCCAGATAGCTACCCATAATTTTCTCAGTGAGCATAAGCTAGTACATTTCCCTACTGATGATGATGTCTTCGAGAGTCTTTCAAGGCATCACATTAGGGATGTTGCTGATATGCATGATGTCATAATCAGGTTTTGCATTATGGAGTCGTTAGTGTCCTAATGCTTATTGAATAAAGGTCCTTGATAGTGGTCGAATTTGTATTCAGGGATTAATGATTCTTTCCTCTTTTGAGAACTAGGGAGAGGAAGGAGACGCAGCCATGGATACTAGATGGTCCAAGCTAATGTTGTCGATCTGGTCACCACCAGTTTAACTTGGGCTCAAAACACACCTTAACTGGTTGGCCAGCTTTATTACCTTAAAGACTCCTTGAAAGTGTGGTTAACAAGTGCAGTTTTCTCTTGAGTTTAGCTTGCGAAATTCTGACATACGGGGCTGTGATAAGGGGCATGATAAAACAAGATGATTAGACATCGATAAAGCTAGCGATTGCTCCATATTTAAATTTTTTGTACATAGAGGTCATGTTTTCATCTTCTATTGATCTTATGCAATAACACAATGCGATTCCGCAGGTCACTAAACTTGAACTTTTGAACACAGCAACAAACTTGGCACTCAAGCTTAAGTTTACAGCGTGCTGCATTCGCATGCAGATGAATGGAAGTCTATGGGGAAAAAAGTGCAGTGTTACCACAGCTTAAGACACTTGCATTCAATAGAGCTAGTGACGTTACTATGAGGGGGTGGGGTTAGGGGCAGGGTTAGGTGTGTGTACACATTTAAAAACATTGCATGCAGTCTCAGCTTGCATGTGCATCAGATCCTTCTGGTAAATAAACGATTGAATGGTAAATTGAAAATAGATTTTATATTAAATCCAAAAACTGCACTTGTTAAGGTTAAGGTCATGTTTACCATTGTTTCAATGGGTGAAATGCAGCCATTTCAAAATAAAATCTGAGCGTGATTTCCCCACACAGATTTTATTCATGTCCAAGTTGGTCTCTTGAATTCAATATTCAGAGCAACAAAAACTGCTTGGTTTGAAAGTAAGTTTGGTGTGAGCTGTGCTTTATAGGTTGCTACTCTATTGACAAGATAATCTTCCTTAAAGGCACAATATGTAAGTTTTTTTTTTTCATTAAAATATCCAAATACTTCTAGAACAGTGGCATTTTTCTGACTTATGCTTTGTTAGCCTGTTACTTCAAGTGTGCTACTGTTTTTCTTACTCACTTTCTCCAGCAGGGGTGCCCAATCCTGTTCCTGGAGATCTACCTTCTTGCAAAGTTTAGCTGAAACCTTGATCAAACACACCTGCCTGTAATTACCAAGTGCACTTTCAGATCTTAAGCTGCATCTGAAATCGCCTACTTCCATACTATATAGTGCGCTAAAAACAGTATGTGATCCAAGAAGTATATGTCCGAATTCATAAAATTTGAAAAACAGTATGTGAGAAGTACGCGGATGACCTGCTACTTCCGACGAGATTCTGAAGTTCTCATCGGATGCATGCTACGCTCTCCCATGATGGTCTGCTGGAGAATTCATGAATGAGAGTGAAGGGATGCAACTGACGCGGGTAGGTCACTTGATGGTGACAAAATAGCGAATGTAATACGTCCAAGTTCCATTCTTACTACTAATATTCATACTGTACAGAACATACTTTTAGTAATGGCCGAGTAGTGCATCTAAATTCAAATGAAGTACCTACTGAGTAGTAGGCGATTTCGAATGCAGCCTTGGTTTAGTTGTGTTTCAACACGGTTGGAGCTGAACTCTTCAGGAAGTTATCTCCAGAAAACAGGATTGTGCACCCCATGGGCCACAGGTTTCTTTAAAAAATCTTCTCTTGTGTTTGATGGAATAGAAACTCATAAGTTTTTGATCCACTTGAGGGGAGAGTAAATGCTAATTTTTTGGGTGAACATTCCCATTTAAGACCTCAGATATTTTCTTATCGAAATTAAAATGTATGTTTCATTCTTCAGGAAAAGATCTTAAAATACCCAACGCCTATACATTTTTTAAATTTTTTTAAATTAAAAAAAACATTAAAAATGAACACCAAAGAAACTCAGAATTTGAGTCAGAATTACTACATAGTGCTACACTATACAATGTAGATGTTTTCAAAGCTATAATTGTATATGGGCTCTTTAAGCTGGTATCATTTGATTTTTAATACTATTTTCTTCCAACAGCAACTGAACAGGTTTGAGCAATAGTGGAGTGAGTTATATTACAATATTGAAGTAGCGAGACTTGATTGGATTTTGGTTTGCTGTCGAATGTCCTCGTTAATCTCAGGTGTGTATGTTTCCATGGTGATTGCAGGTTGCTCTCCAGGATGGCTGGCATGAAGGATCAGCAGTTCACTGAAGAGAAACCGCTACTGCCAGATTCCAGGGGACAGGAAACAGAGATGGTAAGTATATGTGTGTGTGTGTGTGCACATGGCTAAATATAGTAGGCTGGTTAAAAATGTCCTCCAGATTTTAGGCAAGAGAACAAAAACGTGTGTGTGTGTGTGTGTGCATTGCGAAGGATTTATGCTCACCAATACCACCTTTCATCTTAATCCACGCATCTACAACGAGCTAATTTGAAATGAAAAGCATGACGTGTCTTTAATGCCAGCAAAAATATATGTTTTGAAAAAAATATTAGTTCAAATTTGGGACCCTGGGCAACAAAGGATGTTCTACCTTCTTTATAAGTGGTCGGAAATTCATGAAAGAGCTGAATAGTAATAGACATTTGAGTGATAGCATGACATCCATTCAATAATGATGCAATCTACTGTAATCCTTATCCCTCATCTAATTAAATCAATGTCGACAACCAAACAATTAAATTGGGTTCCTATGATCACTGAAAAAACTAGGGATTAACCTGATATTTTCCAGTTCTGTAATTGTATTAATAATTGGTAGCATTTTACAGAAAAATTAGCATATTTTCGCATTAAAAGTGCAGCAGGTGATTGTCTTCAGAAACATTTGGGTTGTGCTGGTTAAAATTTCTTCACATTCCAATAGTAATGATTAAAGTAAATGATCTAAATGTATTTTTATATTCTGGGTCAGGCATACAACTAAAAAATGGCAGACAATTCACGTAATTCTGATAAAGTAGCCAGAACTGTCTGTCAACATATGTAGATTTGTACATCTGCACAGCCTGTTTATGCAAATCTGCAGTTTGCACGCACACACGCGTTGCGTTCACCTGCTTACAAGAGAGCAGTAAAAACAAATGCTGAATTAACTTGCTAAAATCCTGAATCAATATTAGAATTACTTTTGCACAAGGAAGGATGACACCATGGCTGAAGTGTTTCTTTTAGACAGGTATTGTTATGTTTTAAAACTATTTTAGTCACCCAAAGCTGATGTAGATTGTGTTGTTACTAATGGGTTATATGCACAGAAGTGTTGTTTAGCCACTAAAATCTTCCGGTAAAAGATTGATGTGACTATTTTAAATTTTATAAGGGACCTTTTACAACATTGATAATGTAGATTTTATTAAGTTTAACAACAAAACATAAGTAAATAGCGCTATTTAATCTAGCCTGCTTTACTGAGCTGAAGTTGGTTTTATAGTCACATTACATTGGTTCATTTTTGAACAATAACCTTTGATGCGCTCCCTTAATTGTTTAGCATGCTACTTTGAAGAGTCAGTCTGACTCTGTAAGTATGGTTTAATACGTGTAATTCCTTCACGCCTCCAGCCACTTAGCATACAGTAGTCGCTTTAGGACAAAATGAGTGTTACACAACTGAAAACATGCAAGATATATTATAGTATTTCGTTCAGAACTGTAGTATTATAAAGGACTATAAAGTTTTCTAACTGGCGAATGATATTATCTAGTGGGTTGTCGACTGTCATCTTTAATGTGCGTGTTCGGGAATTCATATGGCATGGCAGGGGAGGGACTGTGTTTTAAAGACATTGTGCTAACGAATAGCATTTAGGCAGATCAACTACTGCACCTTTAACTACTACATTAGCTGACATGAAGTTGTACTTTTAAATCTATTGATGTTTATTTTAGTTAATAAATATGACACTAATCTTTTTTTGTGCAAATTAACAATGCCTTTACTAATGTTAATTTATATGATGTTTTAATGTAAAATGTATTAAATTATGTAAAAATAAACATTAATCAGCATCAGTGTTGGGCAGGTTACATCAAAATTGTAAATTATTTCTAATTACTAGGCTCACACGAAATCTGTGGTCGCAGAAACCTGCAGATTTCTGCCAATTTTTTAGCCCATCTAGTTTTTTATTTACTTGTGTAAATGTGTATAAAATGAATAAATTTATTCATTTTAAATTTATTTTGGTAATATTATTAACTAATATGGAAATGTTTAGTTGATTTATTTGCAATACAGCTTGTAAATGACTTTTTTCAAGCTCTTGAAAATGCTGTCTTTTTAGTAAATATATTATGCGAGAAACTTGCGTTGTTTACCAAATAAGTGGATCTAATTGGATTTGCATTGTAAACATTTAATAAAAATTAAAAAGGTATATTATTATTGTGTTTCATATATTACATATTTAGCCACAATACTCCCCAAATCAGCAAAATCCACAGATTTATTTATTTATTTTTAACAAAATTCTCTGCAGAAATAGCAAACAATGTCTGCCGATTCAGATTACAAATTATTTCATCCAATAAGTATCTTATTTTATTATAATGTAACCTATTAATTATTTTAAACTAATTTAAACTAAAGACAATTTCTAGAATTAATAGTGCTAGCTAGTTTTTTTTCCATGCTGATAAACTTCCGGTGAAAGGCAAATGTGACTTTTTTTCCATTTTATGCAGTTCCTTTTATAGCTATGTTATTGTAATTAAATTAAAATACAATCAGTTTAATAAACTTTGGCATTTATTTAGTAATTTAGTTGCTCAAGCATAAAATGAGAAAAGCGCCGCTTACTCGCACGTGCCTGTCAGAATCGGCAGGCTAGTGCAGAAGCTACATTGATTATACTGGAGTAAAATAAATGCTCATATTATAAAGACATGCCGGGAAAAAATGTAATTTAATGCAGTGCTTCTTGTACAATTTGAGACCCACTTTATATCGGATATCACTCAGCCAGTGGAGATCGCTGATTTTGAAAGAAAACCTTAAAGGCACCGATTTTGCTATGGCATAGAGTTAGCCACAGTAGCGCTTAACCCAAGTAACTGACAAATTAAAAGTCCTTTAGCATACTTCCACATATACCCTATTCTTTACATTTGAGAATGGGACCTTTAATTTTATTATAATTGAATGGACACTTAAAAATTTATCAAAACAAAAAGTTTCCAAAAATAATGACACCGTATATAATACATATCATATATTGGCATGCATTTACCTTTGATTGTGCAGTTGTCGGATAAATAAAACCTTTACTTGAAAAATTAAGCTAAAATGCAAAATACAGTATCTGAAAAACAAACCAGATATATTCTTTTGAATTTATAGCTTATATTGTGGTTAATTAATTTCTCATTTTTTTTTCTTAAGCATATCAAGGTTACCTTAATAAATGATAAATGTTCTTTAGTTGAAAAATATAATTATTCTGTAAAATATATATTACTCTTCTTCTTTGAATTTATTTATATAAGTCTATTATTATAAGTAAGTAATAAGTATATTATAAGGCAAGTATATTATAAGTAACTGTAAATAAGTTACATAAAATTGAAAAGTACTCCCTTTCCAACACTGATCAACATTTATAAAATATCAAATTTTTTTATTGTTGATTCATGTTAATTGGTTACTCATCAGAGTAAGTTTTATAAGACTCTGAACATAGAAGTATGAAAAAATATCTTATATATATATAAGCCAATCACAAATGTTTAAAAAGTCATGGCAATTCATGTCAAAGCTTGTTGTATGGATATTGTGTCTGCTGCTTATTTTCCCACATCTCACATTCATCACAGTTATTTTGTTCTTCAGCTTCTCACCTGTGCCACCAAAGCATTGTGTCCTCCAGTCCTCTAGAGGGCTCTGTCTGCTGTAGTGTGCTGTAACTAGTGTTTGTGTCTATGTGTGACGTGGCAGGCTAAAGGACAGTCTGTGCACGTGCTGCCCTCTGCTACGCCTCCCCCCCCCACGGCTCGCCCCCCAAAACGCTGGCATGCCATCGCCCAACACTGGCTCGGCCTGACGCGCCGTCGGACCAGCGGGTACTTCCCGGTAGGCTGATTACCGCACAGACCACGCCCACCCTTCCTTTTAAGGGAAACTCTTTCTCTTTTTTTTTTTTTTTTTTTGCCAAGTTGTTTTTTAAACTTTGGTGCAAGTGTGTTAAAAATAATTCCCTCTAACCAGGATTCATTTAGGGAAAGTGCGATTTGTTGTGATATAAGTTGTTTACATTCTTACACACTGGTAATTAGCATTAGCATCACTTTAACCATTAGTCAAAGTAACCATTTAATTTTAACCATTAACCAGATACTCTACTTGCACTACATTTTTAGGCTAGTAATGGTACTTTTACCTAAGTATGATTTTTCTGTCCTCTTTCCACCACTGGCTGTGCTGCTGATACGGCAGCAATAAATTCACTTGTTGATAATAAAGGAAAATAGCCACAATTTTATCAGCTACCTTAAAATAACTCAACAGTGTTTCTGTCAGTTTAATCGCTTGTTCTGTACTGAATGCGTGTCACTGAAGCACACTAACACCCGTCACTCACTCAGAGATCGCACCGACATAAGATTCAGATCATACAGGAATAGCCTGAGCTAAGTTTTAAATGTAATAAACACGTTTCATATTTGAATCATGTTAACGTGTCCTTACATGCAAGCTACAAATAATGACTTCAACAAAGTATATACAAAAATGAAATTTATTCAGGGAAAAAAAAACTAAAAAAATCAAACAAAACACATTAATTTCCTCGGGCTGTTACCCAAAAATGAAAATGAACCCACTATTTACTCTCTTCACCTGTTTCAAACCTGTTTGAGTTATTATTCTTTCTGTTTAGCACAGACAAAGGTATTTTGAAGAAAATGTGTGTATATATATATATATATATATATATATATATATATATATATATATATATATATATATATATATATATATATATATATATACAGTTGAAGTTAGAATTATTAGCTCCCCTGTTTATTTTTTCTCCAATTTCTGTTTAACGGAAATACGATTTTTTCCACACATTTTTAAATATAATAGTTTTAATAACTAATTTCTAATAATGATTTATTTTATCTTTGCCATTTTGACAGTAAATAATATTTTACTGGATGTTTTTCAAGACACTTCTATACAGCTTAAAGTGACATTTAAAGGTTTAACTAGGTTTATTCGGGTTAGCTAGGCAGGTTAGTAACGTTAATAACGTGGCAAGTTATTGTATAACGATGGTTTGTTCTGTAGACTATTGAGAAAAATATATAGCTTAAAGGGCCATGAAACCCCCTCATTTCAGCAGGGTGTTTTCACACCTCTACTTTGGAAAAAGTCAGAAAAGTGGGCGTGTCCAGCTCTGTTTAGGGGGGAGTGCCGGAGGAACTAAAGTGGGATGGTGTGGGAGTGTCTATTTGGGCACGCACGAGTTTCAGAGTCAAAATACACAGACAGGAGAAAGTGATGGTGTTTAACCTACATGGACATCTGTAGTCGAATTATTTGCCAAATTATTAAATGGTGGACTTTAACTGCAGTTTGGCTCTTTCATTCAGGGAAATCATTCATGCCCCTCACGACAAACGAGATATTTGATTCAAGGATCTGCTCTAAGCGTGTATTTTTCATGCAATGTTTGATACCGCACGGCGAATGAGAGAAAAAAAACCTCAGCATTTCCCGGAAACTTAGATGCACACGGCAGGTAGCGTCAGAAAGCCGTGTGTGTTATTCTGGTCACTAAATGTGGTAAAAACCCTACACGAGGTAAAAGTTTGGTTGTGATGCTAAGGTGTTTACACTCTGTGACTCGGTGCAATAGTTAACTTAGTTCGATACGAGCAAACTGAATAAACAAAGAGCACTGGTCGCTCACTTACCAAATATGTAGAGACAGGACAATCACCAGCAACTAGAGCCGCGTTTTTATGAAGAGAATACTACAAGCGAATCCAGATCTCAGCGTTTGCAGATGAGAACAGCTCTCAGGTAAACAATAATCCTCCTTAGACACATAAGTTATTGTTGTCCCGCGTCGTGTACACTGTTAATCCACACGTGACTCCAGCTGAGCTCTCACAGAGAGAAAATGAAAACAAAACTTAACGGCAGCAAACTATAAAAGCAACACTTCACGCTTGTTTTGCCAACACAACGTGGCGTCTCTGTCCTGAAAACACTGTGACACTAATGAATATTAATGAAGTTGCACAATAGAGCGCGCTGATTGGTTTGAACCAAGCCTTACTCATGCATTAATGCATCACACTGTAAGACGTAATAAGACTCACTCTGGCACAGACGTCCAGTCTGCACGCTGGAATACACGCTATTATGTCATGACCGTGACGCAGCTTCAAAAATTCGTTTCAAACCGGAAGTACGAATTTGCTTGAAATAACGCAAAAACAACCAATTTACACTTTTTAATGAAATATAGGTGTCCTAATAGTGTTTATAGCAGTGTGGGACACATATACGACTGTCAACAGCTCAAAAAATGTGTTTTGGTGTTTCGTGACCCTTTAAAGGGGCTAATAATTTTGACCTTAAACTGGATTTTAAATAATTTAAAAACTGCTTTTATTCTAGCCGAAATAAAACAAATAAGACTTTCTACAGAAGAAAAAAATATTATCAGAAACACTGAAAATTTCCTTGCTCTGTTACATATAATTTGGGAAATATTTAAAAAAGAAAATAAAATTCATGGGGGGACTAATAAATCTTACCAACTGTATGTATGTATGTATGTATGTATGTATATATATATATATATATATATATGTATGTATATATAGCATATTGGAATGTATTTAGCTGCAAAAAATAACCTAAAACAATGTTTACTTAGACATATTTTATTTTTTGATTATTTAAAAAATAATTAAATAACTTTAAAAGGTTAAAATGATCAATTTGGTTGTTTAAAAATGACTATATAGCCTATAACAAATGCCATTATATCTTTTTTACTTCGTAAATGTATGTATCTGTTTTTTTTAAATAAATAATGTAATTTCTATTTGAACTACTTAAATTTATATCTGGTCTACCAACAATTGAACAGCTACCATGAATTTAGAAATTTTGCAAGCCCTGATAAATGCAGACATCGGCAAGAAACAGGTTTGTGACAAAATCATATTATTAATATTAGTATTGTTTTTTTACTTTAAGTAAAACCAGTGAAGAATGTAAACATGACTTAAGAAAACCCAATGAATTCTGATATTTACAGATTCATTCAAGTTGTTTTTGTTTTGGTCAACTTGACTTTAATAGCTGTCTGAATCCATTCATTGTGTTAACATGGAATCTAAACACATTTGGATAAAATATGGATCGCTGGGTTACATAAAAAATGTAATCCAGCATTTGGATTTGTCCATATTTTTACACAAATTTGGGTTGAAACAACCCTGTATTGTTTAGATTGGGGCATTCACTATATAGTGAAAGTGTGAACAAGTGAGTGATTTAGGACAAAACATGTGCAATGTGCTTACAGTAAATGTGTAAATATGATAATATGTTAGCAATGCTAATGTTTAAAATTCAGTTTTCTGTCTTCTTTTAGCATTGTGCCAACCCCTAAACCATTACTATGGCAACTATGTAGATATGCTGGATTTTGACTATACTGTAACTTAAAGTGTCAATGAATGGGATGGGGTTTGAAAGCACATCAGATTTATGTGCATTGTGTACAAAGCTTCATATAATGTAATGTCATGTCATGTCATGTAACTTCAAGGTTTCAATTCCACAATAGCACATTGTTGTTTACCAATAAGTCTGCCCCCTTCTGCCATTCTGTGGTACTGCAGTAGAGTTTTAATCCTGAAAAGGAGTGACACCTGCTGGTCCGACACTAAAACTGCTCTTGCTTTTCTGCTTTCAACAGCTCAAACTGCATGCACTAATCTTTCTATGAGTTTATTCCAGCTTCTGCACAAGAATCACATGATGAGTGATACTTGCTTTTCCGAAACTGATGCTTTTTTTTGTTTGTTTTCTTAGTCTAAAATAGATGGTGCTAACTCATCTTTCCTTGCTTTTCAGAAGATTGATAAGGATTTTAATAATATTCCTTTGGTGTCTCTAGTGGTGCAATTGTCTGGCAAGGAGATGTTCAAGCTGTTCTTTTACGGCGTTTTTGTATCCATTTCACATTTTCCTTAGCATGTTGTGTTCTTAACAGTGTCTTTTTCTTACTAATCCTAATTTTTGACTAGCTCAGACTTTTAAAATGCTTACCATTATACATCATTGTATAATGGAGTTAACAGGCCCTGATATCAGCAGTGAAGCAAGCTCAGCTTGCACATTTTATCATTCCACAAATAGCTGCTGATTTGAAGCCAACTAAGCCGCCCACATACTAACAAGCCATGTCTAGTGGAACAACAATGAGGGGTGTAAAGCACTTGAATAATTACACTTCATTATTATACTTAGCATTATTTTGGAGCATTTTGTATTCTGTATTCTGTTTGAAAGGAAAACCTGTGTGTTTTCTTCTTCGGAATTCTGATGAAAAATGATACTTCTTGCTTAAAAATCATTTAGATCTTTAAGTTAATAGATCACTAGTCATAATTCTAGATTCTATTCTTCACATTTTGGATGCTCTTCGAGTTAATACTTGGTTTTCTTTTTTGGCTTTGAAATTTTGCATGTACAGTTGAAGTCAGAATTATTAGCCATCCAGTATATTTTTCCTCAATTTATTAAAAATTTGGAAAACACATTTCTAAACATAATAGTTTTAATAACTCATTTCTAATAACTGATTTCCTTTATCTTTGCCATGATGACAAAACATAATATTTTTTCAAGACACTTGACTTCTATACAGCTTAATGTGACATTTAAAGGCTTAACTACACAGCAAAATCCTCTGAGTAAAATGTACTCAGTTCAGTGAGTATTTGGTCCCTCTTTAAATAAGGGCAAGCAGGTTGGTAAAAAGTAAAGCTGCTGTTTGTTGAAATGCTTAATAATCCTTTGCTGAGATTTTGAGGGATTCAGTGTATTATATTTCAGCTGATTTCATCTGGGCTGTGACTAAAGTCAGTTGTAGTTTAGTGTTTCTGCTTAATAACAGCAGGTGTTCATCATCAGTGCTCAATCATCCCTCAGCTTAATCTTTGTCTCATTAACTTAAGTAACTTGAACTCAATTTAGAGAGGGACCAAATACTATCTAAACTGAGCAAATTTTGCTTACAGAATTTTGCTGTGCATGTTAATTAGGTCAAGTTAGGACAATTAGGCAAGTCATTGATGGTTTGTTCTGTAGATAATAATAAAAAAAAATGCTTAAGGAGACTAATAATATTGACCTTAAAATGTTTTTTAAAATTTTTAAAACTGCTTTTATACTAGTCAAAATCAAACAAATAAATGTTTCTCCAGAAACAAAAAAATATTATCAGACATACTGTGAAACTTTCCTTCCTATGTTAAACATCATTTGGGAAATATTTGAAAAAGTGAAAGGTTTAACTTCAGCTTTAGACTTCAACAGTACATGTGGAAACAAGCCAGAATTGAAAACATAAATTTGGACTTAAAATTCAGATGCAATATCTGTGTTTTACATTTAAGCACCAAACCTCTGTAGTTTTTACACCCCAGACAAGTAACCGTTTCCATCACAGAAACTCTATCCTCTTTGGCGGGACCTGGCAGAGTGTTGCTCCAATTCTTACTTATTTGATCCTGATAGCATATTTAAAACAAATGCACTTTGGCTTTGATGAACTTGACCTTTTGTGTTCCTGCAGGAAAACTGCGAGACCTTCGTAGCCACTGGAGACTGGAAGGTACAGTGATTTTTTCCATGTGCATATTTGACGACAGATATTATACATTCAAGCCTGTGTCTTTGAGGGATTTTGAGTCAAAATGTCAGATTTAAAATGCCACACGTTAGATCTTTTTGCCATTTAATGATTGCGTTGTCTGCCTTATTAGAGAGAAAAGACGAATGTGCTTACAATTATAGTTAATGAAAGCCTGAGAGAGACAATGAAAACACTCCAGCAAGGCTGTGACCTCCCAAGTACACATTCAACCAATATCCACTTCAAAGCAGTGACAGAAACCTGTGTAAATAAAAAAGAATTCGTTAAACACTTATGACTTTATTCTACACATTAAACTAATTCAGGATCTTAATGTTTTCATACTTAGTTAAAATCATTTCGTAGTAAAATATATATATTTACACACACACACACACACACACACACACACACACACACACACACACACACACACACACACACACACACACACACACACACACACACACACACACACACACTATATTATAAACTGATAAACTTCTTTATATTTGAACTGTAGCAACTATACACACACACACACACACACGTGTATATATATATATATATATATATATAATGTATTATTAACAGTTAATTTGTTTGTATAACCATATTTGTTGCAACTATAATTACCACAAATTACCAGTACTTTATGGTTTATAAACACTATAACAATATTAGAAAAATATATTACTTAATTTAAAATACTATAGTATTTAATGTGGGAAATCATTAATAAAACAGTTATTAGAAAATTAAGCAAATAAGTACTATCAAATTGCTGGAGTAAAATATTAATATAGTGTTTTACATTTATTAAATGTAAAAACATTTGAACATTTAAGGATGTATTATAGCCTATACATATTAACTTGCTATAAATTCCTTCATTTTAATGAATCTATTGTATAAATTAAATCTATCCAAATTAGAGTATATATATCTCTGAAAAATGTTTCAGCAAGGCCAGAAATTGAATATCTGCTTTATTGTCTCTGTCAGATAAAGGATGACTGATATAAAACTGTTCAGTCAATTATTTTGAATGGTGATCGGAAACAACGTCCCCCATTCGTAGTCACGATTACCATGTTTGTAAAATAGTATACATTATTGTTTATTGTGAACAATATTTATTAACAGTATTTATAAAAATATAATGATGACGATGTCCGAAAACATGTTATTAATATTAACATCCGTCATTAACCATATATGGTTTGCCTAGATTGTGTGTTGAATTGTGTGTGCCTGAAACATGTGTGGGTCTGCGGGTCTGCAGCTGAATATTATTGGGTTCACCCTTGTGTATTACTCCGCCCACATACAGCAACAAGCAGAGGACTCTCTACAGTTTGACAAATATTGCAGCTGTTGGGCAACATAATGTTCTTTTGAGGCTTTTTTTAGTCGAGAATGTAGTTGTTTAGATTGCAACTATGCAGTTCATTTATATGGATAGTGCCTCTTTTAAAACATTTATAATTTCCGAGAGACAGCGCATCTGCAGCCATTAGGCTGCCTTTGAGCAAATATGGTTGATGTTCATCCACAAGATGGCGACAGAGACCGCATAATAAGCCCTAAGAGAAAATTAGCATAATTTCAAACTACAGCTGATCAAATCATTATTAAACAGGTAAATGACTTTCTAAGTTAATCTCTTTCTTTTGTATGTTGTAGTACTGTATTAATATAATAGTAATATTGTGATTTCTCGATTGCAACAGAGAAATGCTGGGATATATCTCTGTAGACTGATGACATTTCAGTTTATATCATATATTAAACATAACGCTAGAGAATCATTCAATATTAGCTCTAAAGTGTTGTTAGTAAATGAGCAATGGTTTCTGCTTTTCTGACTTCAGCTGCAGATGAATGGTGGAAGAAAGTAGTTCCTCTTACAAAAGGGTTTTTAAACTCTGTGTTTGATTTTCTTTTTTTTAATTCCCCGATGATGCCGTTAAACTGTTGTATAAAGGCAATATCACATGAGTAGCAGTGCAATGTGGCTGTATATTAGCACTAGTGGGACTCAAGTTGACTTTACTTAAAAATAATGTAAGTAAACCCATTGTAACTGTTAAGCTGATTTAACGTAATGTTCATAATCATGCAAATTGTACTAATTTAAAAAAATAAATAAAGGCAGCTAATCACTTTTTACAGTGTAATATGCTGTAATATCATCCAGATTTTTGAGTTTCACAAAGTTACAGAACTCAAATTGCAGTTGAAATCAAACTACTGAGGTAAAAGTTGAGGTACTAAAAATTTTGTCACCTCGGTTTTGTGTCTGTCTCGCTGTTTGCATCATCTCTTCACACCTCTGACAGAAATAGGACTAAATCACAGAGAGAGAAAATTGAATAAAACAGTGAGAAATCCGACTGGCAAAGGTGGTTGGAGATGATGGGATTTGTAAGCTGCACGCTCATCAAGTGAGATGCTTTTAATTGTGATGGAGAGCAGATAATTAAATCGGTGCTTGCTAGCAAAATACGGTTACCTAATCTCTCTCTTTTACACACACACACACACACACACATACACACACACACACACACACACACACACACACACACACACACACACACACACACACACACACACACACACACACACACACAGACATAACAAGAACGAAAAAAGAAAGAAATTACACATTATAAATGAAGTAGTTCTGGTTCCGCAATAGAGTCAGCAGATTTACTAAAATAGGAATATATTTTTGTAAAAACCCAGAATACTTTGGCGTACACACAAATCACTGTAACTACATTAAGATATATATCTAAAATTATAAGATAACCAATTTAAAAGTGTAATCATTGTAAACCTGCAACCAGTAGAATTTAATAATTTGTTCTAAACTACAGATAAAAACTAATTAAAAATGGTATTTTTTAAAGAATTTGACAAAAAATGATTAAAAGCCTGTTCATACCAAGGACAATAAAATACTTTTAATGAAAAAAATATGTGTAATTTTATATATATGACAAGTTATTGCATATTAGACCAGATGATCCCAAACTTTTCAGCGACCCCTAAAATTGCAATGAAAGTGATTCGCAACCCCCAATATCCTCTCCGGTGGTTTAAATATACAAACCTTACACGCAATAGGGCACACACACCAACAAGCCCAAGTCTATTCTTCATTTAATTTTTGAGAACACCACTCTGTGATCATCCACCATGTTCAGTTGTGGCTTGTATTTATTTTTAATCTACGTGAGTGCCGTGAAGGTGTCAGAAAGTTTAACTTTGTCCCATTAAAATAAACCTGCTGCATTTGACCCTATTGCTGTGTCTTTAATCTAACATAATGACCCCAGGGGTCGCAATCCAATGGAGGAAAAAAATTAGCTTGTTTTTTTAAATCTAACTACAAACTACTATTTTTATCTTCTGTGGGTTATGGATAAAATATAGTCATTCTAATAGTTGAATCAAATTAACAAGATGTTTGGAAATCACAAAGCTACCTTCCATTATCCCGTGACCTCTTGAGGGGACCCGACCCCCACTTTAGACACCACTGTATTTGACTGTGACTGTGACACCAGGCTTTTAACTATTTTCTCAAAATGCAATATTTAATGTGAAATTTCTTGTATACTTCATCATTTCAAATGATACTATGGTTCAACACAAGTCATTCATGTTGTCCTAGCACAAATTTATTAAGTTAACTTAACACTTTTAACTAATTTATGTGGGTTGAACATAAAAAAATTAAGTTGTCCCAATGAAATCTCAATAAATGTGTTGTTTCAGCTCATTTTAAATAAGTAGTTTGAAACCATGTTTTTTTTTTTTGAGTATGTGAGGAGATACAGTACATCTAAAAAAGTACTTTTTTGATCAAATATGATCATATTTCTGTAAAATAATAGCTAAAATTTGAAATTGGTTTGCAAAACACCAAGAATACAAACTAGTTTGCTGTTATTATTATTTGTTTTTATTTAAATTAATGTAATTGGGTTAAGTGGCTTACGCTATATGATAGTGGATCTATGAAAATTTGTTGCATTTTGTATTTGATTTTATATAAATATAAAGTTTATTAGTACATTTTAAGATTTTGTTGAACCAAAAAATTGCTTTACAATAAAATAAACTATTTAATACTATCAAGCATTGTTTTGTGCACTACATATGAGTAATATGTCACAACAATATATATGTTTTATGTTAATTATATATATATATATATATATATAATAACTATATTATATTATATTATATGGGACTATATTATATATATATAATAACTTTATATAAGTATAACTTAAATCACTCTTGTGCACTACATATGAGTAATATGTCACAACAATATATGTTTTTATGTTAATTATATATATATATATATATATATATATATATATATATATATATATATATATATATATATATATATATATATATATAAATAACTTTATATAAGTATAACTTATTGAATTAACTTATGTTTCTAGCTTAATTTTTGGAGTTAAATAAATTGTTTTAAAGTAAATTTATTGTATTTTAAGTTTAAATCAACCCAGGCTCATTGGAAATACATGCTTAGTTTCACTACATGGTACATGGTATGTTTTACTACAGGTTTCAAATGATAAATCCACCAGAGGGCGCTGTCTACATTTGTGTGAATCTGAAATGTTATGTTTTGATATACTTTCCAATAAACGTCCTTCTTGTACATATTCATGAGAAGGTGGGCCTTGTCATACAAATCACCTATCAAATCACTGACCTAAACCCATCAAATATATGTTTTCAACAGCAAACAAAAGACTAAAGTGCACTGCGACCGCAATTTTACCTTGTTTCACATAGAGTTTTGCATCACAAGTATGCGCTAACTGATTATGCCAGAGAAGTGGTTCATGTGGAGAAAGATTGGTGATGTATTAAATTAAAAACAAAGACACTATTGAATTGTTTTGTTGTATTTATTTGAT